TTTCCTGAATTAGTCACATCATCGAACTGCCCTAGAGGGCCACATATGGTGTACTTCTCGCACGCGATCCCAGTGGCTGAACCACTCGACGATCAACTNAGAGTGTACACTGTCTAGGCGCAACCCGAGATAAGGCTAAACTCTCCGATCTCCAGCACTTGTGCTTCCCTATACACATCTATCATCTAGTTGTGGGTTTTTACTTCCACGTTTTGGATAAAAAACGTAACGGAGACATGGTACACGCAAAATGCCGACCTTGACCACTGCATTTAGGAGGGTTTATGGAAGTGAGTTAAGCCTGTTTACAGTGGCAAAAACACGAAAATCAATTAAACAAATAGTGGAATTGAGCTTAATAGGTCGCTGATGGAACTAATCTCCGGATTTGAGCGCTTACACTAATCGCTTATGCTATCGAATCCGATTCGTATCGTAGAGAGACCACAGACCGACATCGACATCCCCTAACGTCACTGTACAGCTTATGGATGCCGCCACGAAATGAACAGGTTATTCAGATGATTTAGTAGTGGTGTATGTCATGCCGATGTACCCGGAAGGTTACGCCTAGTTAAACTATGATTTCAAAAGAGAACATGTCTCAGGGAGGATAGTGGACAAGAAAAATGAGGTCACTTCATCCGGTGGAACCTTCCACGAAGCTTGATGAGTTACCCATAGGAAAAAGCAGGAATTATGCAGGGAATGGCAGTCATTCTATTAAAAAGACGAAAGGCAAGAAAAACGGAAAAGAAAACGAGCGGCAGCACGGGAGCATTATCGAGGACTTATGTAAAGGAAAAGGAGGAAAAAAGCAGTCACTCATTCATAGCCGATGAAAGAGAAGGATCTGGGTCAAAATTTCACAGACAGATTACCAAATGAAAGATTTGCTAAGAACTTTTAAGACAATTCCTGAAAAGAAGTCTAGTAGGTGAATGTGCAAATAGGATTAAAAGGAAATAGGAATATGTATGAAGAGGAACCGCTCAAAGTTGACCTATATTTCCTGAATTAGTAACATCACCGAACTGCCCTAGAGGGCCACATATGGTGTACTTCTCCCACGCGATCCCAGTGGCTGAACCACTCGACGATCAACTCAACGTTTTTACCACCCACTAAACAACTCTGAGGCCAATTAATCCACTTCGAGAGATAAAAACCTCAACAGTTCAGGACAAGACTAGATCGGCCGACTGGATATAATGCAGCAGTGGCATTCAATCGTTATCCAGTTACACCTAGTTTCAATGATGGTATAAAATAAATAATCCAATTCAAAATAGCTATGTCGACTTTCAGACCTGGAAATAACCCTCCCACTTCCAAGAGTCAAGGAAATCACAAGAATACTTACACCGAATCCCAGGATAACCCCATTAATAGTCTAGTTCGTGCGGATGGCGACAACTTCATGCGACTGGCCCCAACCCCATAGAATCCGCAAATTAAGTGCAGCCACTTGCCAGCTAAAGAGGAAACCTCCGAGGACTGGTCGTATACGGACTGCTTCAATAAGTATTCATCACGCCATAAATAGCAGACAACATCAACAACGACCATCAAAACAACAACAACTTGAATTCTAAACATTTTCAAAAGTTCACTAAGCAATTACATAATCCTAACTATGATACACTTTCTATTCATGACACTACAAACAAATTCTGTCAATTGAAGGCACATAGTCTTTCAAAATAATATGGATTAAAGGCACTGAGATACATTAATTGCTGCTTTCCATCTTCTGTACGAGCTGAAACAAGACAAAATGACCGCAAAAAAAAAGAATTTAAACAAATAGACTATCGGTTCTTCCAATACCTATATTTACTTAGTCATTTATTTGTAAACATGCGTCACATCATCACCACGTATAAAAACGTTGTAGGAGAAATTTTCTCAAAGCCTTATTGTTAGTTCTTGATAAAGTGGTTTCTGATATTCCCTACTGAGACGGATATGCGGCGTCCAAGGATAGCAAATGGGGTGTTATTGGGTCGAAAAACAACTTAGATAGGGCGTTATAAGGGCTTGAAGATCGTATCCACTGTATACCACACCCAGAAACGGCCGCGTTATAACGGCTCTGTAGAGACTCCACCATTCTCAATGCATCATGTAGGTTGTAAACTCAATCAGCTTGTTGACGAGGCTGNTTTCTATTTTCTGGATTGGATGAGAAAGGCCGTTGGTTACTCTGGCGATCGTATTTTTACATATGACGACACTGCAATTTTCGGCATTTTTTGTTCACAGTAACCTGCAGTTACCCATGCCCATGCCAATCCCGCCCAAGTACCTGGCAGAACCCATACACTTCGCAAATTGCGAATTTTCCCACTTTCTTCACAATCAATGCGTACTCTGATTCAAAGCTTCCGTAATTCAGCCTAAAAAAGCACCTAGAAATTATCGCGAAATAAGCTTTTAAAACATGAAGTACAATAGTTTAACGAATTCGATCCCTCCAAGCGCATTTTCTTTTCCTTCAGGTGCAGTATTAAAGTGTACAGCAGAGCTTAAGGTCAGCACAGCATAGAGGTAAGCGCAGGTGAATCCAGCCCCAATTCCTGACCTAGTAAAAAAACTTGAATCAGTTAAGGAATTGCCGTAAAGGATTACGTTTTAAGGTATGAGTCATAAGGACAAGGGATGTTGAAACGGAGATTCCACAGATTACAAAGCGCCACAATGACGCGATAGTGGTCAGGGAATGAAGGTCGAGAAGGTTGGCAAGAAAACAATCGACCTGGAAGACGACAGCTTAACCCAACTTCGGGCTCTCCAAACTTTATCACGCGGATACCCTTGACCGCTCCTATGCAACGCATTTCATCCGAACGCATTTAGTTGGTACAGTTGGTACGTACATTAGTGTTTGCAGAAATGTAATTAACTGGCTGTGGAAGGCGATATTGAACGGAACATTCGCATTCGTTACCTACTGTCTGCCCATGAATGGCTTACTCGACTTGAGTTAAACGAAACGATGTACTGTCGAAGCATCAGGTTTCGGAACTTTCATTAGCTCACAGCCTCAGCATCCAGCTGAACTGGATGAATCTGACACCGGTAATGACGGCCAAGTGTAATAGCTTATATCAACACTCAGAACTCAAACGGCCGGCCTACGTAATTTGATCTGAGCGAGATCTTTCACAACCAAGTAGGTAGATGCTGAGAAATGGATTATTTGAAGGCTTCCACGGGATGAGAGGTCATTTTGCTTTGATTAAGTGGTTTTTCTGTAATGTTGCATGAGCATGCTGTTGGAAGTCTCCATTTCCTAAGCTATCATTGATCTCGAGGTCACTGGATCGAGTAATGCTACATCGGCGCGACGTTGCAAAAATTTTGGCCAAATTTAGCAGTGATTATTCTTAATTCAGAATTGGGAAGGAAATTACGTCCAAAGCGACTAAAAAACATTTCCGGCAACTAAATTAATGAAAGCTTTCACTAGTCCACACTATTTTTTTGCCCAAATAAATGCGAATCATATTAATTATAGCTTCACAAGCACATAAGGAGGGAATTACTACATTTCTTTCTTCCTTCCGGTATACAATTTCTCACAGTCCCGGGTAGAAAAAAAGCGAATAAGCTCTCTTTTTTCGTTGAAAAAACACGAAAACATACCCTTTTCAGTTGTAAGCCATCTCTTGTCGTAATAATATTGGTACATATTGCCTACTTCCTCTTTCGTGTATGGCTTAGTTTCGATTGGCAAGAAAGGCTGTAAAAGTATCCGGGTCATGTAATCATTTGATAGACTTGCAATAAACAGAAATAAATCATATTCAAAGTCAAAACCTCGATAAATTGGAATCCTTCTTCTCCAAACAATTCAAGAGGAGTGTGTCTAGGAACAGTTACACTATCTCGAGGATCCGACAATTCTTTTTTGTCAGCAACTAATAGGATACATCCATTTTGCTGAAAAAATTAAACACGATAGCAGAACGATATACCCTGAAGAAAAATATTACGAATTACCCATTTCGGTGAGATCAGGTTTCTGTAATGATTCACTAGTGAGAGCTCAGAAGGAGAAGCCTGAACTATGAACTATCAAAACATGAAAGAAGCAGGGCAAGGAGATCCTGTAGCAAAATTAAAGTGGAACGTACATAGCTCCTATCAGCCTTCTTGACCGTAGTTTTGCCCCATAGAGAATTTGCATCGTCTATAGCTACAAACATCTAAATGAAAGCAAATTATCAAGTTGATAGAGGATTCTTGAATATGCCTTATAGAACGTTTGCTAATCTCAATGTCAAACGTACGTCGGCTTTTGTTTATGGAAAATAAAGTCATATACGTTTCAAATAACACAAAAAGGACGAGTAAGTATTATTCAATCTAGTAACTATTCATTCTATCACCTAGCAGCTTCCTACAAGACTAATGTATTTTCTTCTTGAACTAGATTACTTATAGGCTTTTAATTCCCTCTTGAAATCCAGTAAAAATCTATGGTGAGAGGGAAGTATTTAATGAGTGGCCGCCAAAAAAGATGCGTTCACAGTCTATTTTCTAGTTTTCTTCACCAGTGAAGAAGAATCTAGAGCAATACCAAAAGCAGCATTCGAAATATCCCGGTTTTTGTAATGGTCTCAGGTGTACTGCACTCCAGAAAACCTTCCAAAGAGATTGTAGCATTAGTTCCTATTTGTTTTCACTGCTATTCAAATGACTTGCTTAGAAACGAACCTTCAGGCTTCATTGGATTAAATGATCAATAAAGACAAAATAGTGATCTCATGAAAGAATTAGTAAAACTGACCGTTATTTTTCCAGCACTCGAATGCCTCCTTAACTCCCGGAATAAAGCACCGACACAATCAGTGGCTAGGAAAGGAGCCGATAAGCCCTAAATACGATAACTTTCGTAAATATGCCAAGCCAGTACAAGCGACAAGCACAAATAAAAACATAAAAAGATAAAGGGATCAGTAAAAAAAAGTTTCACGCACTATTTCAACTATATCTGTTATTGGCCGATCAATTGCTGTTCGCTCGATTTTCGTCCACTCGTAGTCGCGCTCCGTCCTCAATCCGCTAAGGGTTTTCCATACGTGCTGGTTCTATAACAAGCACATAAACCAAAAAACTAATAAAATTTGTGATCTACAAAATTTTTGCAGTATATAATGAACACCGCATATGTTTGGTTGATAACACTGAATGTTGAACAGGTTTCAGGAGTAATAACATAAGGTTCTAGTCATAGGCCTGATAGTTAAAATGAAGAATAGAAAGAGAAGAGAGAGATAGAAAGAGAGAAATTACTACAATAGAAATTTAACAAAACATGATCCGTTTCGCCTCTAAACCCAGACGAATCATGTTGATACACAGGTCCCCATCAGTGAGTTTGGACCAGCGTATCACAGAAAATTACAATTATAAAGGAAGCGCAAAAAATTACAACAGAAAAACAAAGTAAACATGAGAGCTAGTTGAACAAACATAAAGAACAGTAATGGTTAGTCGGAAAAACAAGTGTAATAACAACCTCAACATCCTAAAAAATTGTAATGTACACTACCAAGAACCACCTGTCTATCAATGTACAGTTGAGTGGAACACTGTTCTGTGTATTAAATAATGAAGTTATTAAAAGGGATCATTTATTGAAAGGAAAATATAAAGCAACAAGAATTAAACATTAATGAACAAATCTAATAACTAAGCCTTCAACAAATTTGTGTAATTGCTTTAAATCACCAATAATAGCATATTTATAACATGTAAACTTATTTCTATACAAACTTTTGGAAATAGGTAAGCAAGAATCACAGAAAGCTCGCCTGATCTTTGAAAAACTGGAGAGCAGTAACAGCGTTCACGGGATCGTTGATGCGTCCATGCTTGAACGTGGACATCTCAACTTCTTTTACACCGCGAGTTAGCGCCAATGCTAAGAAAAATAGTCATTTACATGAATATGACGACATCTAGCAGTCAAAACAACCTGAGAATGAGCATAAAAATACTTTAAAAATATAATGAAATACAAAAACAAAAGCCCACGGAGGAAACATAACGTAAGCTACCTAATAACGACCAATACACACAGACATTTAAAAAGACTAATAAGTCGAAGATTATGGCACTACCTCCGAAAACATATCGAAAGGAGTAAAGCAACACTCACCACTAAGCAACTGAACGATGACCATATTCTTTTTGTACGCAAGATGTACAGCTTGATTCAAAGTAACTGATTTCCCAGTGCCAAAAGGGCCCCACAAAACTAAACGAAGAGCAGGAAAAGATTGTCGTATGGCATTCATGCAAACAGAGACCTGAAAATTATTCCTGATCAATGAAACCAAGCCATAGTTGAATGAAAGAATCAAAGACCTCTATCAACGGCTCCCTGATCACTGTCACCAGTTCACCAAGAGTATCATTTTGCTTTATGAGATATTTAGGGAGAAGTTTCACGCAGCTCAAAGCTTCAACTTCTTCCTTTGGAATTTTGTAGAGTCGACCAATATCAGATACGGAAAACTTCTCCTGAAAATTCTCGACATCAGTGGAATCTGCTTATAAACATAAAGATTATCGTGAAGAATTGATTGTGATGTTTTTATTTATGGATTAGACACAACGAATATAATAGGGAGGAACACTTACTGGAGAATCGCAGGACGTCATATAAAGTCGACGATCTTTCACCTTGCCTAAAATAGATGGCAGTCAAAGGAAGAACAGAGGCCAGGGATAACCCTAGAAACCTTACCGACACGACTGTGACCCAAATGTGACAGAAATGGCCGGAGAGCACTCCTCATAGCCAAATGTCGCGAATTTTTGTAGTGGGAGAAATAGAACCTTGAAGAAACTGAACCAGACATATGTTGGATATCACATAAGGTAATACAGAAATGTAAACCACGATCATGCAGTAAGCATCTAGAAAACCAGCATAGTAAAGGCTAGATTCACTGCTTAGCAGACCATTAGCTGGCATAGAAAAATTTCTTGGGAGAGGAGATATGTGAGCTACTTCAACATTAACGAAAATAGTAATATCATCGGACGATGGCCCATATTATCAAAAAAACAATACAAAAACTTTGCAATATTCATTGATAGTGCAATAAATTATGAAAAAAAATTCGAATATCGGTTCATCACATCTGGAAACGACAACAGAAACAATGTATGAAAGTAACAAGTGAAGGAAAACGAAATAAAAATAAATAAAATCTGTGCCTCGTCTCGTCTTTTGCTTAAGCTTTAACTGTGGCATAGTTCAACTCTTCACTGTTCTCATATTCAGCCATGTCTAAGGCCACTTCACAACTCTCCCGAACCACTCGCTTAAATAAAAATTTGCAACTAGAGCACAATAATGCGATCAACTCCTAGAAACTTAGCTACATATAAAACAAGACGTACCTCTTTATCGTCAACGTACTTTCGTAACAAAGAAGTGCAATGTTCCGTAGCAATAGCTCCAAGAGCTTCAGCACATTCATGTCTGACCATGCAGTTCTGAATTGTACGTATATGAAGTGTGACTCTGCCCAACCTTAGAAATTTCAAGGTCCTTATCGCTTTTAAACAATGAAATTATTTAGCCGACAGTACTAGTCCTACTGGGTGTGAGCCACTTTATGGCTAGTTGGTAAAATTGTCTTAAAAACTCTTGAAATAAGGACCAGTTTTCAAATTGGTGATGAAATTTGACTAGGAATTTATCTTCACGTGTTATAAAAAAACAATTTCGCGTAGGGTTTGTAAGGAATATTGAAGGTAAACCAAAGGAATACTGAAGTTCGATGTCAAATTAAAATGAAATCCTCTATCTTCAAGTACTTATTTTCGCCATCTACACTCCAATGGGAAGAGAAAGAAAAGAAGAAAAAGAGAAAGAATAAAGAAAAAACAGTTCAGAGCAAAACAG